CTGAACCTCACTGCTCACCTGACACGACGCTGCCTCCTCTTCTCCACCCATTTCTCCTTAGCCCTAAAGCCCCCGCTCTCCTACGCCTCTCCCTCTTTCCCTCACCGCCCGACACCACCATTACTAATCTCGTCTTCATGCACTTCATCCTTTGTGCCACTTACTTCTACCCCTTATCCTCGCCCGACCCGAAACCCAACCTATGCCTAGACTCATCCCACTCAGCCGCCCCGTCCTCTGCCTCTACAGCCACCTTGTCCCTCTCATCGTCGCTAATTTCAAGTCCATGTGCACTTCCTCCGCCTACAAGGGCACTCTTGTCAACAAGCTGTTCCCTGGCCAATTCTTTCTCGCCGGCCACCAAGCCGACAAGCCCGATGAAGAAGGGAATGGATTTGGGTTACAGGAAAGGGGAAGGGGTCAGGGAAGATGGGTGTTTGGGGGTTCTTTTTTTTTTTTAAGGGTAAATTATTATTATTTTAATTTTTTTTAAATTTTTTTTAATACAAATTGGGCCCTGCCTCAAGACACATCAGCATTTAACAGAGAAATTGACAGACAACTGATGGAAGGTATGACATTGCAACAAATTTGAAGATAAGGTATGACATTGAAATTTTTTAAAGAAGGGATATGAAACTGTGACTAACTCAATAGTTGAGGTTGTTTTATATAATTTACCCTTATATTTATTATTCATATTTGTATTATTTTTTTAATCTATCTATTTATATATAAAGCTAGAGGCTCAATTTGGTGCCACCGGCTTCGACAAAAAAAAAAAAAAAAAAAAAAATTGGACCAAACTGCCCTTCAGCCAAAAAAATTCAAAACCTGCCCAAAATAATCATGCAAGGGTAAGTTAAGTTAGTAATTTGGTCATCATAAAATATAAACGGGGAGAGAGAAAAGAATAAAAAAAAAATGAAAGGGAAGAGTGAAAAGAATAAATAAATGACAAAGTTGATGGTGCCCATGTGATGGGAAAGAAAAATATAATACAAAATAAGAAAAATCATGAATGTTGTGTTTAAAACATCTTAAGAGGTGCGTAGCGCCAATGTCACGTCCCGGCCTGGGCCCCCACCTACATCCCGGGCTCGACTCCACTGTAGCACAATATTGTCCGCTTTGGGCTCCGACCACGCCCTCACGGTTTTGTTTTTAGGAACTCATACGAGAACTTCCGATGGGTCACCCATCGTGGGAATGCTCTTGCGCGTTACTCGCTTAACTTAGAAGTTCTTACAGAACCCGAAGCCAGTGAGCTCCCAAAAGGCCTCGTACTAGGTAGGGATGAGAATATACATATAAGGATCACTCCCCTGGGCGATGTGGGATCTTACAGCCAATGATAAAAAAAAAAATAATGAAAAAAAATAATATTGAAACAATTCACGCATATAAATACATTTAAAATGTCTAAGTCGCGCACAGCGCACTGTGATTCAAAAAATACCTTTTGCACACGGTTGTTTATTAAATATTATTTCTCAAATTTTCAACAGTTAAAAGGTGTGTAGTGCTAGTTATAAAAAAGTCTCTCACACGCGCATAATAATGTAATTCAATTAGTTGTCAAATGATATTTTTTATTTTTTTAACAAACGATGTTATTTACACAAAGGGGAAGGAGTGGGCTTAGCTTCACAATAGGCTAGCAATTAGTTGTTCATTAAATATTATTTTTTTCTAATCTTAATGTAAATACAATAAAATGTAGATGAAAACTGAAAGACTACTTTTACTAATATGGATTTAGCTGATTTGATTAGTTAAAAGACCACTTTTATTAAATGTATTTATTATTCATTTCCATCTACATTAATAAATACATTTAAAACATGTAAATCGCACATAGCATGCCGTGATTCAAAAAATGCCTTCTGCACTAGCATGAGCGCGTGCATGGAGGCTAGTTATATATAAAGTCGAAGGCTCAATTTGGTGTCACCAGGTTCGACAAAAATAATTGGACCAAACTAGCCCTCAGCCAAAAAAATTCAAAACCTGCCCAAAATAATATATCAAATCATGCAAGGGTAAGTTAGTAATTTGGTCATCATAAAATATAATATAAATATAAATGGGGAGAGAGAAAAGAATAAAAAAATGAAGGGCAAGAGAGAAAATAATAAACAAATGACAAAGTTGATGGTGCCCACGTGATGGGAAAGAAAAATCATGAATGTTGTATTTAAAACATCTTAAGAGAGGTGTAGCGCCGGTGATAAAAAGAAAATAACGAAATAAAAAAAATATTGAAGCAATTCACACATATAAATACATTTAAAATGTCTAAGTCGCGCGTAACGCGTTGTGATTCAAAAAATGTCTTTTGCATGCAGTTGTTTATCAATTTTTAACCACTTATGAGGTGCGTAGTGCCAGTTATAAAAAAGTCTCTCGTACGTGCATAATAATGTGATTCAATTGGTTGTCAAATGATCATCTTTTTAGAACAAACAATGTTATCTACATAAAGGGGAGGAAGTGGGCTTAGCCCCACAATGGGCTAGTAATCAGTTGTTTATCAAATATTATTTTTTATAATGCTAATATAAATTCAATAAAATGTAGATGGAAATTGAAAGACCGCTTTTATTAATATGGATTCAGTTGCTTTGATTAGTTAAAAGACCGCTTTTTATTGTATGTATTATTCATTTCCATCTACATTAATAAATACATTTAAAATATGTAAATCGTGTGTAGCATTCCGTGATTCAAAAAATGTCTTCTGCATGTGCGTGAGCGCGTGCATGGAGGCTAGTAAAAATAAGACCAGTCAACTTATGAAGATTCATCTCTATTAAAGAATTGTCGCTTAGTACTACCGTTTAGTGGTATTCTTCTTCACTTGTAAATAAAAGGCCTTAGGTTTAACTTTCATGAAAGCTAAAGTTGAACCATATTATTATGACTAGCGCAATGTGAACCTTAGCCCACTCGCTCGCCCCTTAGTGTAAATATTATCGTTTGTTAAAAAAAAAAAAATCTCTAGTAGAAAAATCAGTATAAATGTAGTATAAAAATTTGATAAGAGTAGTTAGAAAAAAAATTACTTTTTAAAGGAAAAAAAAAAGTAAAATTTTGAATATGAGATTGCACTTGAATCGACATTACTCAATGATGAACCTATTTTATGTAAATTCTTATCCAAGTCATGACCCATTCCAAAATTAAAATTTTGATTTTCAAAAAGTTAAAAGAAGAATGTGAATAAATAAACAATAAAAATATTAAAATTTAAATTAAAAAATTTGAGTAAAATGTTAATATTCGAGAAACTATTTATTTAAATTATATTTTATAAATTTTATGACGTGGTTGTTTAACTTGTTTATAAATTTTAAGTGTTTAATAGCATGTTTATTTTATATTAACTAGCAAGGGTCACACGCTAAGTGGCAATATTATTGAACAATTTTTTAAAAAAAAAAATATTAGACTAGAAAATATAGTACTCAATTGAACAAATTCATTTCAATATTTATCACTAAACATCCAATTTCTTTCCTTTTCTCCAATCTACGATATACACATATTATGTTGTTTCGATCTTTTGTTAAATTTTTCAATGGCCTTGTGTTGCACATTAATAGCCCCTTTTTAAAAATTAGCTTTATATTTTGAATTGGTGATAACCTTTTTGGCACCTGACTTGATACATTAAATGTCACATTCCGGTTCGGGTTCTCACCACATCTCGGGTTCGATTCCACCGTAGCACAATATTGTCTACTTTGGGCCTCGACTACGCCCTCATGGTTTTGTTTCTAGGAACTCACATGAGAACTTCCCAGTGAGTCGCCCATCATGGGAATGCTCTCGTGTGAACTCGCTTAACTTCGGAGTTCCAATGGAACCCGAAGCCAGTGAGCTCCCAAAAAGCTTTATGCTAGGTAGAAATGAGAATATACATATAAGACTTACAGGATCCTCACCCCTGGGCGATGTGGGATGTTACATTAAAACTTCTTTATAGGCATACTCTATGAAAAATAATGTATGTGTAATTTGGGTTTGAATACATGTATATATAAGTTGGCTTATTATATCAACACTCTACAAATTGTTGAATAAACCCCACATACTTAATACACCCCACATTTGCCTTGTCAATTAAAAATTATCTTAATACACCCCACGTATTTCCCCATAATACCCTCACACCCCACATTCTTAATATACACCTTACATTTTCTATATGCACCCCATATTTTCTATACACCTCACATTTCTCAAATCTTAAAAAGCTTTTAATTTGGACAAAAAATGCTGATTGGAATTTTCACAAAATATGCCATCTGAGATTTAAAGCATATGTGGGTTGTTTTTAATTCCACCATTAAAACCAATGTCATCTGTTTTTAATATTTGGTGGTTATTTTAGGTGTTTAATTCTTCGTGTAATCCCTGTGACCCTTAAAAGATGAATACAAACATAGAACCTAGAATAATGCATCAAAAGCAAGATTAAATAATTATCGATGTCGTCAAAATCACTACAACAATAAAAAATATGAAGTCTTATCTCATGTGAAGCTTTCGATATTGATTTCGTGTTTCATTCGTCAAAAATAATTTTTCTCAATCAACATGTTCGTAGTTTCATTGGGTAGGTTTTGTTTAACAATGGAGGGTCGGATGAGTTTTGATAATTGAAGAAGATAAATAATATGTTAAAAGTGATTTGGGGTGTATATAGAATTTTTTTTTTAAAAACAAAAAAACCTAATAAGGGTAAAATTGATATTGCATAGTAGGGTAAATATGTTATTTAATATTAAATTTTAATGTTGGATGCATGCAACATTTTGTGGAACTGCTAATATAAAAAATCATAAGTTTTTAAAATTTACAACCTAACCGGACCCATCCCATTTCGATTGGGTTGGTCGTTGAACCCACTAAACCAAACCCTACAGCATCAACCGTTTACATGAAATCGGGACAACAGCGATAACGAACAAAAACTGAAATCATAGAAATACAAATGCAAGGAGAAACCAATATCATCATAAATTATCTGGCTTGTCATAAGAAAAACTGAAAAATGTAGATTCGAAACGGTGCCAAATAGCGTAAGAGGCATAACAATAACCAAAAAATGATTCAAACTTCCACAGCCAGAGAACTAAACATGAAGGGCAAGTAGAGACCTAGGTGTTGGTGGCTCTGGCGTAGGTCTACTGGCTGGCGTGGGCCGAGACCATCCGAATCAACCCTCGCGCCATCAACTCCCTGATCGTCCTCCACGCGAGCGACCCGTTGATCCTGAGGCGGTCGGAGAGAATGGACGGCGTGATCAGCTTGTACTTGGGCGCCTCAGTCAGGAACTTGTCGTAGTTGCCCTGGTCGAAGAGCACCATGTTGTTGACCTTCTCCGGACTTGGCCGGCTTCGACGACGGCGGAGTTGCCTTGTCCTTCTTCGGCGCCTGAAATTTAGAAAACTCGAGTTGTCAGATGCATTTACATAAACAGGTGGAGTGCAATCTGGAAGCGAAACTTGGTTGTGGAGTCTGCACGAACCATTGGATCGGATGACGGCGGGAGAGGGAGGGAGGAGGGAGGGAGGAGGGTTTTGGGGAGGGTGAGTGAATGCGGAAGAGATGGAGGGGTTTATCCAGTACCGGCGTCGTATGGCAGGTTTTTGTTTTTGTTGCGGGCCACTTGGGCCTTTGGGTTGATTGGTCAGCCCATGTATGGAAGATCCAAAGGGAGCTTCTACATGGGTGGGCTATTTTGCTGTAATTTTTTGCTGGGAAAGTAACTCGCCATGATACACAGGCAATTCACCCGACATGAACTTGAATATCAACACCATATTATATTAATTTAATGGGATTAAACGTCAACGCCATGTCAACAATGTCATGACATTAACAATCGTCGAATATCGTAGCTTCCACCGATGCCGTTGACAGTTCTATCCACTGTTATTTCTTCCTTCTCCTTCATCGTCAAGGGTTATTGAGCTCCCACCTTCCTTGTCAAACACACCTTCACCAACATATAACATTGCATCATCGGCTTCCTCTCTCATTGTTTGTCGTAGCTACACCTTCCGCGCCTCCTCCCTCGTCATCCACACCTCGCACCGCCTTCGTTTTGCCGTACCGATTATTATTGGTATTCTCAAACTGAACCATACAGTATCCGTTTAAATTTTGATTTCGGTTTCTACAGGACTCCCTTCTTGAACCGAACCATACTGTGCCCAAGCTTGTGTTTTTGCATTCAACCTGATCATGTTCATTTAAAAATAATCACGTTAACGTCTTCCACAATAATTTATGTGAGTGTGATTTTTATACATAGAAATCAGACGGCTTAAGTTTGATTTCTATAACACTATTATTACAGTGGTGCGAGTTTTACATATTAATTGTGGGGTCGATTTATTTATTTAATTTTCTAATTTATGATTGATTGTTCTCTTTTCTACCTCCCAAAAATTAAAAATTTAGTATATAGAAATCAACACTCATTTTTCCGACTCACTATAAAAGTATGATTCCTATATTATTATCATTAGACTCTGTTATTTGACTCACTCTTATAGGCCTAAGAAGCCATCATCTTTAAGTTCTGCCCACAAAATAAATACATACATAATCCTACATAAATTAGAAAAGACACCATGTAGTCAACTGCATTCGAATTCAAAGTGTGCGTTTTGTGGTTTGCATAAATATGAGGTTTTTTAGCTAAAATGGTCTCCGAGATTTACATAACACATCACTTTGGTCCTTCAGATTGAAAGTCAATAGAAATAGTCCCTGAAATTGTCCATCATCCATTATTTTGGTCATTCCGTTAAAAACTCCGTTAAGTGTTCCGGAGCTCTTGGTTGGAAGTTTGGGCAATTTTCAAAGCTTCGTCACTCAATCCTTTCTTAACCAAATTCGACCCATAATACATAAAAATGAAGATAAGAAAGTGTAGAACAAGAATTTACCTATTTAAGAGCCCAATGGTTGCCGGAGATGGCCGGAAAATAGCCTAAAAGGTGACTGGGTAAACTTTAAACGTGCATAACTTCTTCAATACTCAAAGAAATCGAGTGATTCAAAAACTACAATAAACTTATCAACGAGATGAAGAGAATGGTACCTTTAGAGATGGCTAATTCGCAGTGGTGTGGCCGAAAAACGACTTGAAAGTGGCTAACTCGAGACCAAGGCAACCACTTTCGATCCGTTTTCTGGCCAAACCACAGTGAGTTAGCCATCAATAAAGGTACCATTCTATTCCTCTCATTGAGAAGTATGATTTTCGTTTTGAATCACTCGATTTCATTGAGTATTGAAGAAGTTATGTACGTTTAAAGTTTACCTAGTTTCCGGCGAGTTTTCCAGTTTTCCAACGGACTAGTCACCTTTCAGGCTGTTTTTTGGCCACCTCCAGCAACATTGGGCTTCCAAATAGATACAATCTTGTTCTATACTTTCCTTTCTTCATTTTGATATATTATGGATCGAATTTGGTTAAAAAATGATTGAGTTACGAAGCTTTGAAAATTGCCCAAACTTCAGGCCAAGAGCTCCGGGACACTTAATGAAATGACCAAAATAATGGATGGTGGACAATCTCAGGGACCATTTGTATTGATTTTCAATCCCAGGAACCAAAGTGATGTGTTATGCAAATCTCAAGAACCATTTTGGCTAAAAAACCTAAATATGAAATGCTTAATGAAGACGGGTGACGAATTTTGTGGCAAATGGTATGGCTAACCTTTAGCCTTTCAAATAAAAAAATTAAGATTTACATTTTTCTTTTTCAACTAATTCAAATGTTAGAAATGGAATTGTGATTTTGGTCGTGTTTGGACTTGAAATATTGAATTTGGGTTGAAGGTGGATAATTCACAATCAGGATTAATTCTCAGACTAGTGTTATCTCCTTAGGCCAGATAGTACTCAGATATTCAATCCACGAAGAATTCGGCCGAGTCCTAACAAGAGTGTGACTCATAAAAAGATCAAGTGAAGAGGTGATTCGACTGAGTCGTAGTTGAAGTGAAATTGTACAAGATTAGAGTGAGTTTTGATAAGGTTCCAATTATTATAAGAACCAAAACTCGTTGCTGATAAGATAAAGAATGTACTTAAAGCATTAAAGAACTAGGTTCAGATTTCTAGTTCTAATCGAAGAGGCCGAAACCGCGTGCAAATTGGTTTTGGCTAGTGAAATATTACATTTATATCCAGAAAGACGTCGAGGAAGAATAGGTTTAATAGAACTCTACTTCAGCATACGTGGCCATTATGAAACTCATCCCTATAAATAGAAGTGAGTTTGCAACGTCAAAAGGACCTTCAACACAACACACAAACGTCTTGCACAAATCTCGCTCTACGTGAACCCCTTTCATACTCTGAGAAACCGCTAACTCTCCTAACTTTGTCACCACACCTTCAGTTTGGATTAATAGCACTGGAGCCATAGAATCAGGCAACCGAGGAGTATCTTTAATTTGGAGTAACAACATTACTTCGAATTCGGCTTGTTACCTATCCAAATCTCTATCAACGAGAAGTCTTTGGTTTTCTTGATGAAAGAGGTCATCTCATTCAGCTTCGCAACGAAGTGAGGTGTTATCAAGTTACTTAGTGTTCGGCACATTGAAAGACGAACCTTTCCATTATTGGTTATTCCCATATGCATTTCAGAGTTCGGCATTTTAATGGCCGATCCACATTTACAGTCAAAATGCTTGTCTTTTTTTGAGTATTTGTGTCCTTATAGTTTGATACCAATTCGATGCACCTATATTTTCACAAACATAGTTGAAACGACCAAACCTGGTGCAGATCCTGAATTTCGCAGTGACTAGCAACCTTGTCTTCAGGTTCTAGAACTCAATGTCGAGACGTGTTCCTTCCTTGGTTGTGATCACTCGAATACAGAAGTCAGAAGTGCATTCGACACCACCACCACCACCACCACCACCACCACCACCATATTTATGTTACTCACCGACCAAACTCAATGGTGAGTTGGTACGCCCGCGTTCAATAAAAGAACGTAGTTAACTCTTAGATACTCGACATCGCACCCTGAAGCTTGGTACTTTTTTGGGTTCAAAATGTCCATAATTTAAATTTTCAATATTCTAATTTATTCTAAATGTTCTGTTATGAGTCATTATGGATTTACTAGTTACTAGCTGATAGGATTTTTATCACCTGCAAAAATAGGGATAAAATCATACAAAATACTTGCAAGAGAACAAGGTTGTTGTAGCATAAATGACTCAAGTAAGGTCGTTTTCCGCTGGGATTATTTAAAACAATTTATGAAAAACTCTAATTCTAATTAATTATCTGAAAGTAAAGATTGGAAAATGTTGATTTTAAATTTAAAATATAAAAAACGAATTTTAATAGAAGTTATTTAGGGAAAGCAACTAATAACCAATTAAAAAGGAAACAAATCAAAGAGAAAAGATTTTGAGAAACAAATTTGGAAAAACACTAGGGTTCCCCTGTCACCTTAACAATCCTACGTAGTTCTTCTAATTCCTTATGAATTACACATGCATATTTTGAAGGTTAGGTTTTCCTAAAGTATGCCCTACTTGGAACCCCCAATATAGAACGTATATCTAATATGCAACCCGTCCATGACGTCCAGATCGAATGTGAACAGGCAAGACACACTAAGTTTGTGAAAACCTTTTGAAAAACCATATAACTCCTAAGACATGTCAGTCTATCCTAAGTAGTTACACATGTTAACTATAAGAAGCCTTAGTCGGTTTAAGGGATAGCCCTCCAACAAAATTGCATCCAATTACTTATCTAAACATCCTAATGGTCACGAATCACTAAGACAAATAGATAGTTTAAAGCACACTGATTAACCAGCAAACAACTTGCAGCATAAATTCATAAGAAAATTAAAAAGAGGCTACATATTCTTACTAAGGATCATGGCCTCACCCTAGCAAAAAGGATTAGTTATGCATATTCATAATTAAAATCAACATAATTGCATTAAACTAGAAAAATAGTGAAAACACCTGAAAGTATAAGTCTTGAAATCTCTAAACTCTAGCCAAAATCAAGTTGCATACCTAGAAGAAAGGCCCTAAGTCTGCCAAAAGGCTTATTTATACTACTCTAAATAAATCCTCTAGTAAAAGGTCTTAGAATCATACTAGGAAACTAAATAAATTGAAATAAAGTAGGAAACATAATCCTAAATTGACTTAGTAAATTCGCCTAGAAATCTGCACAGCCACGTTTTGAACCCAAATCAGCTCCAAAACTGGCCCAAAATAGCTGGATTTAAAGCTTGGATTACTCTAAACACTTCTCTAGAAGACCATGAACCCATTTGAGGTCATCTTGGGCTCCAAAAACGCAGTTTGAGCCCAGAAACGTCACTTTCCAGTAACGCGCACTGCTCCTTATTTAATTGCCAGAAAATAACCGCTTGGTAGAAAAATCCAAAATTTTGACACAACAAACCAAGAGACACACAAACATCCTCCAATTTGAATCACTTCAAAATTCGTCCGTTTGATCATGTTTTGCTCCAGAGGAAGTCGAATGTCCTATATTGAAAATATAAAGCAAAATATCAAAATTCTACCAAAATAATTACCAAATTATACTAAGAATAGGGTAAAATATATAATATAATATTGACTCATCACTAGCCTTCATGCACACGCTCACGTGCGTGTAAAAGATATTTTTTAATTTACGGCGTGCTACGCGCGACTTACACATTTTAAATATGTTTATATGTGTGAATTGCTTCAATAATTTTTTTTTATGACAAAAAGAAAGTCAAATATTTTGACTAAATGAATAATATTAGATCATGCTAGAAGAAACCCCTCATAAACCAATCAAAGCAGTTGAATTCACATAATAAAATCAGTCTTTCAATTTTCAGCTACATTATATGGAATTGGGTTTTTAGCCAAAATGG